AATGTCACCAATTTCGAACGTACCGCCAACTGATGATGATGAGCCATTGATTTCCGCAGCTCTTACTTGGGATTTGGTACTAGTTTCGCTTGCAAACTCTCTTAGTGTGTCATTTAACACCTTTACTAAAGAGGCCAATGTGCTTGCTAGCCGCATTTCCGTTGGCAGTTTGCTCCATATCTGAGCATATCTAATCAAGTAAAACTCTTGCCTGGCGGCGTTTTTACACTGTCCAATAGCCACTGTGTCTTTAGTGTGTCTAGGGTTATATTCAATGTCGTCTGAAGACTAGGTAGCATTGGTATATACTCATTGGTTGTAGAAGTCGAAGAAGTAATGCATTTAGAGCATACGTATACTCCCCGTGATCACGGCGATACTTTGTGGAATGTGTCAAAATCGTGGAACAATCAAACCTTACATGAAGTGGAGCCAACTAAATCCACATGGCAAACAAGGTATAGTATACATCTGAATACTCATTCACATGTTGATGATGGTGACAAATCCAACTCACGAAATATGCAGTGCCAGATAGTCAGAGTGCTTAAAAATAATGAAAATATGCTGACAGTTGCATTCCGAATTCCGCTGACTCATTCGATGGTGATACTCTGTTCCTGCATGCTTCATTCATAATTTTGTATGGATTCCACTATGGATAAGATTTGTTTTGATAAATCATATAGTGTACAGTAATATTAACTGAAGACGTTTCGCGCACAAACTATTGCTCATAATCATATCAACTTGAAATTAGTGGAGCCAGAGCCTTCGCGATGCAAAACTGCTGACCGTAGAATGAGTGGCCTCGAATTCTGGAGACGTTTGCTCGCAGCTACCTAATATTTACAACGACTTATTGGGTGCAAGATTTTACACAGTCTCAATCTCCGAACCGTGATATACTGGCAGAAAGGCATTATTGTGTCTCATTTGGCAAGGAGAAATATAAATGAGCAGAAACAAGATACTTTCGTATTTCTTTTCCCTTAGGGTTTGTTGATTACACAACTCACTTTCGATCGACGCGGTTACAAATTAACTTGTAGACAATCTACGATTTGATATTATATCATACTTGACCGTGCCTGTAAAAATGGCATGCATTTTCATGTAAATTTATATGTTTATATGAGAATATACATTATTATTATTATTATAAATTGATTAGTTTTTTGCCTCAACAGCAAAGGCGAAGGGCTTCCTCACACATCCATAGGGGATCTACTGGCACCGAAGATATCCTGCCATTTTAGTTTGTTTACTTCTCCGCTTAATAGAACTGCTTGCTCTTCGTTACATCTTTCTATCAATCTTCATCAGCTCTTTTGCGTATGCTTCCATTTCCTTAAGCGACATGTACACAGTCCGCATAATCTAACTTCCAATTGCTTAATCTACTATCTGCTCTGTCAGTACTGCCTTTTCTTGAGTGTTTCACAACATATCCGGTGGTCTATCTGCAGCGTCACTGCACTGCTTCCATAATAAATTAGTGAACCTATTCCCACTGCTCTCAGAAACGACTGTCGAAGAAAGACGTTCCTCGTACTGAAGCCAATGAAAGATTTAGAGATATTCCAAAAGAACAAAAATCTACAGCCAAGATATGCTAATTTTAGTACAATTTCCCGAAAGTATACTTGATACTAAATTTTCAAGAGCGATAATATGTCAGGACAAGTGTGAAGGGATTAATGAAAGAATTTGAATCATTCTCTAATATTAAAAAGCAGGTGCAAGAAGTGAATATTTTGCATTAGTCAGTATAAATGATATGGTCCTAGTCAGGCGAGATAGGGACCTGAAGGAAGGAAGTGGAGTCGCCATATACGTCGACAAACAGCTCAGATGTGTTCACGCAATGGACCCTCCCCTCACTGAGCTCCCTGACTCCATATGGTGCCACTTCACCGTTGGGTACTGCAAATATCTAGTGGGCAGCATTTATCGATCACCTTCATGTGGAGCAGACCACAACCAGGTACTGCTAAATACAATTTCAGCGACTCAAGACATGGGTTATGATCAAATTGTCATAGCTGGAGACTTCAATGCCCCATCTCTTAACTTGGCGTCGGGAAAAGCCCATGATAGATTTGATCGAAATCTGCTGCATACCATCAGGAAGGCTGGATTCACTGAAAATGTCAGGATGGATACTAGATGGGGCCCTGATGGGAAGTCTTCTAGACTGGATTACGTGCTCACTAGTGACCAGCTACTAGTGGAAAACGTTCAGATCACGACTCCCATAGGTAGTAGTGACCACGCGGTCATAGTATTCGACATAGTCCTCCGCGAGCGCTTACAGTGGGACAATGCACAGCCCTATCTGTGTTGCAACAAAGCCAATTACACCAAAATGCGAAGACTTCTGTCTGAAGCAAATTGGCCTAGAAAATGGACAGAGCTAACAGTAGAAGAACACTGGAGAGTGGTAAAGGAAATCATTCACCAGGCGGTCTCAGACACTGTTCCTCTTTCACACGAAAAGCTAGGAAGCAACGTTCATGGCTAAAAGGAGGACACAACGCCTTCTGCAGGCGGAACGAAAAGCCTGGTTTGGTGGCGACGATCGAAGAGTCAACCCGAACATGAAGTGTACCTTGAACTTAGGAATCGATGTAACATACTAGTCCGGAGCGATAGAAGGACATTTCAGGGAAACCTCGCCAATAAGCTTCTCGTGAACCTCAAAAGCCTATACAGGTTTATGTCTGAAAGAAAACCGACCAACCAGGGAGCATGCAATCTAGTGGGTTCTGATGGGAAATCTCTTACTAGTCTTGAAATGGCAGAGACATTCAGCCTAGCCTTTCACAGGCAACTAAACGGTAACGAGGATATTACCCTCACAGAACATCAAGATTACATTTCCAAACCAACGCATGAAAACCTGCTGGGTGCATTTCAAATTACCCCTGCTATGGTACTTGTAAAATTGGGAAAGTTGGCTTCTGGAAAGTCTTCAGGTTGTGATGACATCAGACCATCCGTCCTGAAGCAGTGTTCAGAAAGTCTCTGCCAACCCCTAAGTGATCTGTTCCAACACTCCCTTGATGTAGGGAAACTTCCATGTGAATGGAAACGAGCAATCCTATCCCCTATCTTCAAGGGTGGTGACCGGCAGAATGCAACCAGTTACAGACCAGTTGCTCTACTTCCAGTGATATCGAAGATATTGGAAAGTCTCATTGACGACCACATGAGAAAATACTTCGATGGGACTAACCTTCTTCACGAAGCACAGCACGGTTTCAGGAGGGGAAGATCCTGCGTGACGAATCTTCTACTAGCTTGGAACGATTGGACACTATCCTGGGACGAAAAGGTACCAGCCCACGTGATCTTTCTCGACTTTGCGAAAGCATTCGACACAGTTCACCATGGTCTGCTCCTTCACAAAATAAGCAAGGCGGGTGTTTCTGGAGCACTTCTCGCATGGCTGAAAGATTACTTAGGCGAGAGAGAATTCTGCACCAAAGTCAACCGCATCCGATCATCCTGGCACACCTCGGCATCAGGGGTTCCTCAGGGTTCTATCCTAGGGCCGTTGATGTTTTTGATTTTTATCAACAACCTGCCCTCTCAACTAAACTGCTCTGCGCTTCTTTACGCTGACGACGTAAAGATTTGGAGAGCAATAAACTCATCGGAAGACTCAGACAGATTGCAGGCTGACCTGCAAACTTTGGGAAACTGGGCTCTGGCTAACGGAATGCCTTTCAACCTAAAGAAGTGCAAAGTAGTGCAACTTCATTCCGGCAGGTCACAGAGTGTAAATTACACCCTTGGTGGCCAGAACTTGAGTTGTGTTCCATCAAAGCGCGATCTAGGTCTTATTCTAACAGAAAAGCTAGACACCAGTGGAAATTACGCGAGGGACGTCGCCAAAGCCTACGCAACTTTACACTTTATGCATAGGAAGCTGGGAGCTCTCACTCCCGAACTGTTCTTAAGGTTATATAAGTAATATGTGAGGCCACACCTTGAGGTGCATAATATCATTGCTCCTCCGCTACTCAAAAGGGATGCTAACATTCTAGAAAGTGTCCAGAGACGAGCGACAAAATGGGTGATCGGCCTCCGCAACAAATCATATGAGGAACGACTAAAGAAATTAGGTCTTTTCACACTTAGTTACCGTAGGCACAGGAGAAACCTCATCACCGTCTACCAGATCTTAAATGACCAGGCCCACCCAAATAAAAGCATCCTGCCATTAAGTGATTATAGGCTTCCACGAGGTAACCCGCTAAGGATAGCACACCAGAGACCAAAGACTCGAGTGCGATCACATTTCTTTTCGCTTCGAGTTTGCCGTCTCTGGAACGCTTTACCGGCGGCCGTGACTACAGCGCCATCTGTGGAGATTTTTAAGCGGAAGCTGGACAATCATGCAGAAATGCAAGGTTTGTGTCTCAATGGCTTATCTTCATAAAACTTAAAACCACGCTGTCAATGGATAAGCATACAAACTAAATCCCCACGACCTGTTCTGCCTTCTCTCACTGTACCTACTACTCCATCTTTTCCTTAGGTCACCTTTATTATTTCATTTATCTCAACCCATATTATCTACACTACAACCTATTATTATTATTACTTTTCTGCTTTTATGACTACACCGAATGACCAACGGGAGTTAGGTCAAACTCCATTCACGGCAGCAACACAGTCCCAACATACTGCATACTACAAACCACATCTTGACCAATCCCCGCACCACTCCTCTTGGAGTCTACCAGAGCTAAAGCAGTAGAGTGGCGGGACCTACTACACAGAAGCTCACCGAAGATTTGGAACCTCTACCTCACAATCAAGAAGCGAGCTCAAAGAAATCACTTGTTTATACTAGCTCATAGTCAGCATATTGGATATTGGATTAACCTGTCCGAATATTATTGGATATTGAATAATGTGTTATACTATTCAGAAGTTACATATTGCCATAACAATAGTAAACGGCTATTATGAATAGATTTAATGGTTAAATGGTAAGAAAGAAGACAAAAAGCAGGAGAAGCACGAATTCTCCTAGAAAGAGTGGAAGGCATTCAAATGCTTCAAACAAAGAATCTTATGATCCAAAAGTGTATGAAGTACAGATCACAACATTAAAGAAGAAAACAAAAGAGTAATTAAGTAGATTTCGCTATGAATTAATAAGATATCAGTATGTGATAGACAGTTTGAAGGATTTAAACTCACAGCTTTCACTTCAGTTCGAGAAAGATGGGTTAGAGGGTGAAGGGCTAATTGGATATATTCAAAATTGCATTCAACATAAAGGTTATTCTTACACAAATTTACTTTGATAATTGCTTTTTAGACCAAGATATTAGTGAACTGAAGGAAAATCTAAGTGCACTCTGCAGTAGGATGAATGAAAAGCAGCTAGAACATAATAATATCGTGGCTAAACTCAGGTTTGAGATAGAGGCCGTTGAAGAGAAACTTAATTCTGAGAAGGCCGTTTTAAGTAGGTCTTTTCAGCACTTTTTCAACTTCCACTTACATAGCTGGTAAAATAGCATCGTTAGAAGATCTTTATGTTGAGAGAGCACAATTACACACGAAGACAATAGAAATGGAAAATCTAATTGGAGAAACACGGAAAATTAACAAGTTTAAGTATCATGAAAAAGATTTAGAGTTGACAGTCACACAAGATCAGTGAGTTTTGATACACTTTTGTAGCATGCAATCAGATTTTATGTGCAGGCATATATGCCTGTAATCTTTTGGCCTTGTAGCATGCTTATAGTTATTCATATGTTAGTATTATTGTTTGCTTGCATTCCGAGTGGAACATACGGCTTCAACAACACATCTCCACTTTCTTCTGTTTTATGCTTTCCTCTTAATCTGGGTTTCAATCGACTAAACTCTTTCATCTCTTCCTCACACGATCTCCTCCATGTCACACTAGGACCACCCAACGGGATTTCACTAGAGCGATGGCCTGGCGTGCGATATCACTAGGTGGCCTCCTCAACGTATGCCCGATATATTTCCGCTTTCTCCTACATACTCGTTGAGCGATCGGTTCCCGCCTGCTGGTTTGTTTCCAGAGTTTCTTGTTGCCTATTCTTTCTGGCCATTTGATCTTCAATCTGAAGTCGAAGAAGGCAGCCATTGATGAAGGCCTGCAACCTGTTAGAAATGCTTTTCGTGACATTCAGTACAAGTTTCTGACCCGTATAGAAGAACCAACTTCACATTGGTGTTGAAAATGAGAATCTTGTTCCTTATCCTGAATGCAGAAGATTTCCAAACCGCTTTCAGGTTGATGAAGGCGTATCTTACCTTGCCTTTACTATTATGACTTTGACATCTTCGTCTGTTCCGCCTGTAGTTGAAACTATGCTTCCCAGATAAGTGAAGGAGGCAATCTCTGTTAAATCTCTCCCGTTGATGGTGATTGATGCTGGTTGTTGTTGCTGTTGATTGGTTATCTTCATCGCCGCCGTCTTCACTATGCCTGCCTGCAGCCCTGTTTTCCCTGCCTCTTCTGCCAGTTTGTTGATATTCTCTTGCAAGTCTTCGAGTTTGTGTGACATTAGACATAAATCATCCACACAGGAATTTCAGGTCTTCTGGAGCCTTTTGTCGGTCATCCAGCGTATTCCTGACTCCTCATCCTAAACAGTCTGACTCATAATCAAGTCTATCACAATTAAGAGTATTATCGGTGGTAATAGGCAGCTTTGTCTTACTCCTGTATGCAGTTCGAACACCTCGCTGACTTTTCCGTTGTGAATCACTTGACACGTGGTATTGTCCTAAAGCTGTTAAATGAGGCTGACAGAGACTTGAGGTATGCCATAGTGTTGAAGCAGTTTCGAAATTACTTCCCGGCCAACGCTATCTGTCGAAGGCCTTTTCGAAGTCGATGAAGTTGAGGTTTGACTGCCATTCTATGCTTTGTTCGATGACGATGAGTAGAGTTGCAATTTGATCCACACACGATTTTCCTTTTCTCAATCCAGCTTGTTCCGGGCGGAGTGCATACACATTTTTATACTAATGAAGTCTCCATCATATATAGGCCTTTGTGTGACTATTTATTTGATATGTTTCCAATTAAAAGCAGTTTAGCATTTCGGGCTAGGATAAATTCACATGTCCGACTCTACATCCAAACGGTAAAATTCATTTGATCGGTACGTTTAGAATTTACATGTGATCTTTAGCTGTGGCCATAATGCAGCGTAAAGTAATTATCGGCTTTTCAGCCGCACCGCTTACTGCTTTAAACTGAGAGTAGCTGTACAGACTTACTTATAACTGTTCGTGGATAATTACGTTGACTTTTACCATTTATTTCTTCATTAGAAGTGTGAATACTATTAATTGAATAAACTTGCATCGGAGTCTCAGTACAGAACAGTAAGTACGCAAAAACAAATTCCTATCCAGCCACTGACCCAGAAGGAAAGTGAAGTATACGCGATTGCTGTATTTGACCATAATAACGAAAAATATAATTGAGCAATTTCACAGAGTTCGACTTTTGCATCTTTACAGATTAATACAACGCTGTCGACTAACAGTTTCAATTTGCATTTGAAGTGCTCGCTTCGCAATATATTCAAAGAGCTGCAGATTTTGTCGATGTACACACATTCATGGCAAAAGATAGATTAGTGTTTTTCACAGGTATATTTCATCATTAAGTTTGTAAAGCATTTTACTGCAACCGCCTATTTAATATTCCAGTATCAATGCATTTCTGCTCCCTCATTCTGTGTACATTTGTTAATGGTGACAGTCTTCATACTAAGTTGTTAGTTGACCCATCAGTCCTTAAGTGGATTACAAAAGTTTTCTAACTATTTGATGCAATTATGAATAAGCTTTGACATTAGGGAAAATATGACTGACTAAGTAAGCACCAATAATTAGCCATGTGCATTTTCACTGGAATTACCGAAATACCACAAATCCGAGTGACCTAAGTGACTTGTATTCCAACCTCATATTACAGCTATTATGTTTCTGTTTTTGTTGCAGAAGAGAAAGCCACTTCAGACGTAATATGTACATCAAATCTTCAAACAAACTTTATCAGTTTTCTCGAGGTTCAAATTTAAAGATAATATTTACTTTGTGGTGTAGTGACACTTTATCACTGTCGTTTTTCCCCAAATATAAACAACAGATTATACAAGGAAATGTTGCGCAAACTGTCACATTTGGCTGAAGAATTTCGAATAGCAACAGAAAAACGTGTTAACAAAACAGAACGTCGAACTTTAGAATCAAATTATACACTAAATGAAAAATTATCATGTTTAAGCACTGAAATGCTGAATATTATGGGTAAAAATAAATCGTATAAACAAGCCACTAAACAATTGAAGCATGATGTTCATGTCTTACGAGACGTTAGAAACGAAATGCATAAAAATTGGTCGAATCAGATCCAAGTGAGTCAAACTGTTTTCTACTTTATATCTTACACTTGAACAATGATTTTAGTGAAGTTAAGCCTTAGTAATTTAGAAACAGTACTCCTCGGGGTTATGATTTTTGTTTGCTTATAATTTTGATAAGTGCAAGATGTTTCCATTTTGCATTTCCTCGTATAACTGTTCTTACGTCCGTTTTTGTAGTTTCTTTGCAGTTTTTTCCCAACCTTTATGAGTGCTTTTATGAAGAGTAGCCAAGTGAACTTCTGAACCTTGTGTAAAGTTCTCCGTCGAAAATTCACTTCAGCCTTCACAAATATCGTAGTTGCAGTTCGAAAATTCATTGGTCTACTTTCGCTAGGCATAGGTACTCTGCATATTTTATTACCTTTTGTAGTATTTGGTTTATTCATACAGTTTGTTCTCTTGAGAACTTTGAATAAAGAACAAACGATTAAGCCGTACAAATGATGTCATTTTGTTTCACATGATTCAGTTAATTGCTGACTGTTTAAAATGTGTGAGAATTATCACGAGGCGAAGGCATAAAATACGTCGGATATTTTCAAACAGATGTCAACATGCAAAGTAAGTTTAGTCATAAAAATAAGATTTAGAAAATTAAGAATTATATTTCATTGCCAAAATTTATTACAGTTTATGTTATATCCGAAAGATGACTTCAGAAATGTGCAAATAATGGGTCAGGGAAAACAGAAAAAAGCATTCTGATAAAGACAGGAATAGTCATTCAAATAATAAGAATTTGATGAAATGACTGTGATCAAAAAGAAAAATGCAAATGATGATTAATTACAGATGAGATTCAAATGTAATAACAAAGCTAGAAGGAGCAGAATTTCATGTGTGATATCAAAGTCAGGCTGAAAGTATTTGATACAAATAGCTTAAGTAAACGTGAATCAACTACTCCGTCTTGTTTATTTATTATTCTGAATTACCGAAATACTTATATCCTGTATCAGGATTCTGCTAAATATGTGGTTGTTGCATGCGTAAGAAGTTTGCTTCCTTTTAAGGCATTTTTCCAAATATACGCTTAGAAGAATTCTAGTACTTATCAGGCTCTCAGTATTTTAGGTTTAATTACCTCCACAAGTGGATGTAGTTATCTGCTTCTAGTGGGATAGCTAAGCACGTAGTGCATAGTCTGTTGTCAAAAGTAAAACGATATTAATTTCTACCGTAATATTTACAGTAATATTCAATTTCCAATGTTTTATTCATTTCCTATTTCAAAAAATATATAATTTCATTCAGTCACTGAAGCATTCGATATCTAATTGTTTGGAAAAGGAAAAAAAGTTATTCTCAATTAAAGAAATGTTCCCAATGAAAGAAAATGTTTGTATACTGAATAAGGACTTGTTTCAAACACATATTGACGATATGAATATAAAAGGAGATGAACTCAATGAAGAAGTACACAATCTAAGGTAATAGTAACAACATCTGTCTTCTGTTTCTTTTTTTGACACGATCAGTATTGTGATTTTAAAAATTGTAATCTCTTATTTCTTCGAATTGAATTCCAGTGGTTCGGCTTAATTATAATTTTTCAGTCAGTTGAATTTCAGTGCATTTCAGTTAATAATTAACTTTCAACGCAAACTGAGTACCATCAGCTACACTACTGAGCCGAAATATATAGAACTCGTGTCATGAGCATCATTTCATGTATGTTTTTACTTGCAATGTCTCATAAGTACTTTTAATTAATCTAATCGACTGATCTCCCTTCATATTTCAACTAAGAGTTGTAGTCACTCACTAAATGGTTGACTATTTCGTTTTCATTGCTGATCGATTTTTAAGTACGTTCGTGAATCTAAGTGGAATGACAGTGTCGTTTGGTGCTTTCTTAGTTAATCCGTGAGAACACACTTCAGTTTGCCCTAATTTATATAAATAGAGAACACTAAATTCTAGTGAAAATGAAAAGAAGTGATTCAGCGAAGCGATTCTTTTCAACGAATTGGTTATCAAGCTGTACAATCATATATATATATATATATATATATTTAAGAATTTACATCTCGTGAGAGAATTGAAATAATAATAATTTAGTGTATTTATAAGATATGGTTATTTTTTTCACCATATCTCGTATAACCATATATCTCGTACAAGGGACAATCCAAATCAAATTAAAAGCTTTCAGGGAATCAGGAGCTGCAGATAGACCACAAGCCAAGTTCAACACTCAAAAGCTGAAGGACCAGGCTACAAAGGACATCTTCATTGCAAGCATAAAGGACAAAGCTGAGACACAAATCAACACCAGCGAAAAGGTCGGCGTCGAAAAGCACTGGAACAACTTGAAAACGGTGTGGAGCCAAACCTGCATAGAAATTCTAGGCAGAAAAAAGAGACAGGACAAACAGTGGCTCACTATGGACACTTGGAAACTAATAGAAGAGAGAAGGACAGTGAAGCAAAAGATTATCCAGTGCACCGACGAGCAACAAAAACAGGAGCTGAATGCAAGCTACAATACACTGAACAAAAGAGTGAAGAAAAGTGCCAGGGAAGACAAAAGAAAATATTATGAAACCATGGCAAACGAAGCAGAACAAGCTGCAGGCAAAGGAGACCTCGCCACACTCTACCAAACAACTAGGAACCTTTCGGGCAAACGTTCGACACAGATTAAGCCAATAAAGGACGACAATGGAAAGTCAATCACCAAAGAGGTGGAACAGAGAAAGCACTGGGTTGAACACTTCAAAAGACTTCTAAATCGTCCGCCACCTACAACACGTCCAGCAATACCAACAACGGAAGCAGAACTACCAGTGAACACTGACCCCCCGACGAAATCAGAAGTCCTGAATGCAATCAAGATGCTTAAAGCTGGGAAAACACCGGGACCAGATGGAATCCCAGCAGAGGCTTTGAAAATAGACCCAGAGACAACAGCGGACTTGATGACACCACTGCTGGAGAAGGTGTGGAAAGAGGGCAAAGTACCCGAGGATTGGAAGAACGGATACTTATTCAAACTTCCAAAGAAAGGAGACTTAAGTCAATGTAAAAACTGGCGTGGAATTATGCTTCTGTCCATTCCAAGCAAGATACTAAGTCGTATCATCCTGGAGAGAATCAAACAAGCCCTAGATGAAAAACTTCGTCCGGAACAGGCTGGATTCAGGAGAAACAAATCATGTATTGATCAAATCGCCACTCTACGGATCATCATTGAACAAAGCTTGGAATGGCAGTCACCTCTCTATCTCAACTTCATCGACTTTGAAAAGGCCTTCGACAGCGTCGATCGAGAGGTCATTTGGAAACTACTTCGCTACTACGGGGTCCCATTGACAATTATACATCTCATCCAACAGTTATACGACAATGCTGCATGCCAAGTAATCCACAACGGGAAACTTACGGAAGCCTTCGAAGTGAGGACGGGAGTGAGGCAAGGCTGTCTACTATCACCAATGATCTTCCTGATTGCAATTGATTGGATAATGCGACAGACAACGGCAACCAACGAGGGAACAGGCATAAAATGGACTGACACAAAAGACTTGGAGGATCTGGATTTCGCCGATGATATATGTCTGATTTCCCATAAACTGGAAGATATGCAAATGAAAAGTAACAAGTTGGCAGAAGAAGCATCAAAGATAGGACTTCACGTGAACATAGATAAAACAGAGATGATGAAGATTCCTAGCCAACATCAACAGCAACAACAGACCACAATAAGCATAAATGGGAAGAACCTGAAAGAAACAACCTCCTTCACCTACCTGGGAAGCATCGTCTCAACTACAGGCGGAACTGACGAGGACATCAAAGCCAGAATCGGAAAAGCAAGACAAGCTTTCATTACTCTCAAATCTGTGTGGAGGTCAACAGCACTCAGCATCAAAAATAAGATCCGGATTTTCAACTCCAATGTGAAGTCAGTGCTACTATACGGATCAGAGACTTGGCGAGTCATAAAGAGCATCTCAAACAAACTTCAAACCTTCATTAACAGCTGTCTCCGCTCAATACTCAAGATCAGATGGCCAGAAAAGATCAGCAACAGGGATCTCTGGGAGCGAACCAATCAGGAACCGATTGTGAAACAAATAGGCAGAAAGAAATGGAGATGGATTGGCCATACGCTGAGGAAACCATCAAGTGACATCACTAGACAAGCCCTCGAGTGGAACCCGAAAGGGAGGCGGCGAGTTGGTCGTCCAAGGGTGACTTGGAGGAGGTCATGCGAGGAGGAGATGAAAGCATGTGGACAGACCTGGAGCAGGGTGAAAAAGTTGTCAGAAAACCGAAGTCAATGGAGGTGCGCAGCTGAAGCCCTATGTTCCTCTAGGAACTAAAGGATACAATAATAATAATAAGATATGGTTATAGCTGAAATTATTGTATACCAATGTAAAAGTCTAATAACAAACTGGTATTTAAAAACAAACATTTTAGCGAAGAGGCTCTTTTTGGAGAATAGATTTCCTCTAACAGATGAAAACATTCTCATCGCTGAGCCGGTTGTCCTTATTTCTGTCTCTGGATGGATACTTTTCGTCAACTAAACTGATATTTGGCTATTAATTTTTATAAGGGCGTTTTTAGGTACTGTGCCTAAATGTATGCTATCTGTCAGTTTCTTAAGAAGTTGTTTTATCCCTCTGAACATTTTTGAATGCCTTAGACAAGCTTATTGGTCAACAACCAAGATTTAATTGCGTTGGGTATTTAGAGACTTTTGGTATTACAATATCTAGTCAAGAGAACTAATTAGTATCAGTGTTTTTGCAGTTTATCTTTATTTGTACAACAGAAGTCTTGCTGCATCAGTCTACTGTAGTTCTTTTCGTCTGTTTTCATCCGCTCTAACTACCTGTGGTTGAAACAAAACTGCCCATATATTCCATAATTCACATTTATCTCTTATATAGTCAAGAATTTCCTGTGACGTCTTACCAAACAATTTTTTTCTTGATCAACTAACAGATCAATAAGGAATTTCGTTTTAACTGAAACCTGTTTCTGCTTGGATATATTTGTAATATAAGACAGAGTGTTAGCGTATGAGTTATTCTTTTTACTCTTGATTCATTTGTTGATGTACCCTGGATTTCTTTGATGTTTAATCATGTGAGAATGACTAAAAAAAAAAAAAAAAAAAAAAAAAAAAAAAAAAAATGTGCTTTCCTGTATTATCAATTATAAAGGCCTAATTGAAAATAAGTAAGATTTTTAGTGACCTGTGTATGCCTTATAAGCATTTCTGACACAAATCTGAAACATGAGTAACAATTCAGGTATATTTCATTATATCCAGAATTTCATACGTATATTCCTAATGCCTAATTAAATCATTCCAGCACCTGCTATCGGAGGTGTCAGTGGTGTAATACTTGTCAACAACGCACATGGTTCGGGGTTCGATTCCAAGTAGACGCACTCCTTTAACTCACTTGGCCAGTAGTAAGTAAGCCTTGTGATGAAAAGGAAAGGTTGGGTGTGAGGTTAGCAGCCTCACCACATAAGAAAGAAAGATATCTGCCCTACTCTCGCTTGAAGCCTTATGGTCTACTAGGAATGCAAATGGAATGTGAGATAAGTACAGTCGACTTTTCAAAATCCCACCCTAATCGGTATACATATAATCAACTTTCTTTTAATTACACAGGTCAAAGTATGACGAGTCATTATCGCAGTTTGAAGAATACAAGTACATAAGGAGAGAAGAGCTACACCGTTTAAAGCAGTTAATTCAAGCAAGAAATCATTTATGTCAATTAGTTTCCGATTGTAAAACTGCACTACAAGAAGCTTATGAAGTAAGAATTTGCAGTAAAGTTTTTCTTTTAATGTAGTACTAATCATTCATTTCGATTGGTTTCAATTACCAATTTATTCGTGTATTTTGTTTTGAATAGATGTATGAACCAGAAAGTAATACAAAATTAAATTTCACTGAACGTGTTCAACGGTTCGACCATTTGTTGACTGCATTCTTTATTATAATTTACACATGTGATCAGCTGATTTCACGTATTACTCCATACCAGATTGGAGATTTTCGTTGGAAACGATTATCTACCTGTGTACCGTCAGCCTCAACAAGACAATCACTTGGTGGTCAAAAGGTTATGTTTAGTGACTCAGTGCAGGATTCATTAGCAACATCATCACTGGCTAATGTCGACAGTCAAACAAGGAAGACATTTTCAGGGAAAGATGAGTCAACTGGATCGAATTTGGAGTCAGTTGAAAAAGATGAGTGAGTCTTGCATGTTACGAAAATATCAAATAAGATTTAATTTAACGTAAGAGAGAACTGAGGATTCTTCCAAATCTAAACTGTTTGACATTGATTAAGTACAGAAATCTAAATAAGGACGGGAGGTTGATCGATGAGGTTGCGAAGTTGTACAGATTGAGGGTGATTGGATATGTGTTGTGTATGCCGACTTGTCATCTTGTTTGACAAGAGATAATAACTGATATGGGACTAGGTTGGAAAATAGTTATAGATGGTTGGAGAGAAGCATGGTTGGCTTAAGGAACGCAGGTAAGTTGAGACTACCCGACCGGTGTCTTTAGAATACTACGAATCAGTGGTTTGAGATTATTGGCTAAAAGTCGTTCTCATTAGCAAAGATGTAATTACTCCGCGTCATCATCCATTTTCTGAAAATCTCTAGTCTTCAGCTAATCACCAAGATTTGACCGAATAATTCCACAATAATTATCACGCCAGTTCATTACTTTTTTCTACACTTGTACGTGCTTTCCCGAAGTTTTGTAACTTGAACTGTTGAACTTTTGTTCGAAATTCTGCGTTAATAGAATAGCCATATTGATTTATAATAAACTATTCATCTAATTGTTTATACTGTCGTTCTCAAGACGACATCAAAACAATTTTGAGCACTTTTAATGAATTATTACTGAATATTGTTTTCAGTAACATAAACTTTCCGTCAAACCTCAGTATTTCATACAGTCAGAATAGTCAGTGAACAGTTGCCTATTGAGTTAAATTCTCAAAACAGCAGTAAAATGGTTAAGACGTAACTCCAGAGATGATTAGAGTACCGAACATTTTTCAGGGATCCGTCAATAAAAGCTTTAAAATTGTAATATCAGATCAGGGGGAAGGTTCACCTGAAATACAAACACACTTGTTACCACTTTCCAAATTTCTTGACTTGGAGGTAATTTTTAACGCCGGTTATTTTGACATGTTGTAATAAAGTTTGGTTATTGAGAGATTATCCATGAAGTTTGTAACGCTAATTGAAACAGTCTACTTGAATTCATAAAAGCATATGTAAGCTTATGGATGGTTGCTTTGTGAAGTCAGGGTAACCAGTAATGCCAACCAAGAATGAACAATGTCACAATTGTTAATTAATTCTGTTGTAGTTCTGTTAATTCGAAAATCGGGCGAAATGCCAAGTGCTCTGCGCATTCTGTAGAAACAAAATTGGTTATGTGTAGCACGTTGTTTGTCCTTGTTTGAAAACAGATGATGCTATGCAGGTGGTCCTCAGTGACTCTTACATTACGGATATGAATTAAAATAATTGAGTATATTGACCGAGTCACTCAAGCCATGGTGATAAAAAATGCTTCTAGGGTATTAGCGAACTCATGTCATCTTTGGCGTCAGCGTGATATCTACTCGCGTATCAGTGAGTGTATGTTCTGCACAGGATTTCGTTCTTTTCTACCTCATGGCTTTGAGACCGCGCTGTTGAAGGCAATATATACGTTAAATTAAAAGTTTCCGACTTTAGATATGTACGTTCAGTTGCTTGCGATAAGTGCAGCTATATGTTCATCAGTAATCAGGTCAGACGTAGAGTGTTATTTGAGGAGTTGAAGTTTACTTAAGATGTTGTGAAATACCATCGTATAAGGCTGGGTAAGAGTTACAGTAGGTCAGACAGAAGTATAGATTAAATCTTTGGAGTGGTTGATTGTTTATCTAAGCCACATAGGAAGGTGAAGATTATCTACCCCCATTCTACAAGGTCCTAGGAATAACTTGTTGAAGAGTCTTTAGGAAATGTCTCAAAGTCATTCGGATGCATTTTCTTTTTACGATTTGTTTTCAATTTTGAAGATTTTCTCTAATCTTTATCCTACTGTTCTTTTCCGCGTAATCCTCTGTTCATCATAGCATGAGTATATTGCTTGTTTGAATTGTGATCACCTGAACTGATGCATTTCCCAGTAGAGTTCCAGTCTTTGTAACGTGATATAATTACCACAATTTGTAGAAATACAATCTAACGTTTTTGTATTCACCGATAGTTAATCAACGGTTTCTCTTCGTGGTAATGAGGTGGTTATTATTAAGAGAAGAATTCCAGGATATTAAGATGCTTGCAGTTTAACTGTTAGCTTTGCGTCACAAGGACTTGTTGTCAAATTCCAGATAAGTATATTCTTACTACTTGAAAGTTATGCTGTACAGTTTCTAGATGGTGATATCTTCATCCTGACCTTCGCGTTTTATCATGAGTTAGTTTTCAGGTGTTAAAGTTATTCAATTGAAAAGTCGATGAGCGAAAATTAGCTCAGAATATCCTGAATTGTTAACTAGTATTTGATTATACCTTCAAAGTACAGTCATCATACAGTCGCTTCTCTCAACATTAACAAATTTATTTTTATCTAATATTAAAAGTACATATTTATTGGAATATCACGTTAGTTAGCATTACAAGACATGAAGTTACGGTGACTGACGTGAGTTGATATGAAACACTTAGTCTTGACCAGTCGGTTAAACTTCAGTGTACTCATTTTAAAACGACGTCTTAAAATTATTAAATATGTAGAATTTCTTAAATTTTGGAAACGGGACAAAACATCCTTTACTCCTTATGCACTTATTAGCGATTTTCGACAATGGATACTTCCGTTTATTCTCGAGCGTTACACTCAGCAATATTCTGTTTAATAGTGACGTTAAGCATAGAGTGTTAGGTGAGAAGGGAAATCCAGTCGATGAGTTGGCGTACTTTAGTTAACTGAGGTGACTAGGTTATGTCAAGAGACTGCCTTCCCTGACGAACGACGTTAGCAGAAGTCGAACAAAGTTATGAAGAAAATTTGAGGTGCTCAGACCAAAACATGACACTAATCCTTAAAGATAATAACTGATGGTTTGTGAAAATATGAAGGTAAATGCTGTCTGGGTAGGATCTCCAGGATATCAAGAATTATTGGTTGCGGAGTTTCTTGAAAATGCCTTAAAATCATTCGAAATAGCACAGATATAATCAATTTTCGTTTTTAAAGTCTTCATCCAATTGTTGTGTTTCCCCAACGCATTTCCTTATTGAAGTATTTCTATTTGCTCCTTTCATTTATGCTTTATTGGTGTTTAGCAAATCCAGGCGATGCATTTTCGTACAAACTTCTATTTTGATAGTTCAGTCAGTCCATCTCCATTTTTTCTAACTCCAAAGTGCTGGTAGCAGCATCCAGGAGTCCTGAATGTCTTTACTTATTTTCTTTTGGTTGTACATTGCTAAAAAGCCTCCAACTAAGAAGAATAAGCTACTTGAAGTTGCTTGAAATAATTCAAAATCTCTGCAAACCAACATTTAAAAATCATTCTAGTACTCACTACTAACTGAATAGGGGATGAAATTACCTGAAGTTCTAGCTATAGGTGGTGATCGGTGTGGTTCACCAAGTTAGGTATGAGGACAAAAACTCCCTGATTACATTGGTTAGCGGTTGCGGTATAATCGTCAAACTGTCAGAAGTTATAATTTATGGACGACTAAATCCCGTCCCAGTAATTGAATGAACTCACACTGTAAACCGAAGGTCATGTTTGCATACTGATGAAGAATTCAAAAAGGGTACGAAACAGCTGTCCAGTTCTTTTAACACAAAATTTATCGTGATTCTCACAAATCAACAGTTCATGTTTTTAATTTCTAACTGACATTGAAGATACTGACCATTACTTCGTTGAAATTCCTTCTTCAAACAAAAACATCTCAAAGATTATTTTCAATTCAACATTCACATGACGGAAATAAAGTAATTTCCACCTAATAATAATAATAATTATGTTTCAAAGTCTGCTTTAAATTGTAATAAGTTAAATTTTGAAATTGATAAGATGTAACTTTAGTGTGTAGCTTATATTACTCTACAAACCATATGATTTATTTAAGTATTATCGATTTTCGAAACTTAAATTTTCGACTATGTGTAGTGAGTATTTAGTCAGTGAGTGGATGTATTTTTGTCTAACACAAAATACAGATTAGCTTAATTTCTTAACAAAATACATGCAGTGAAAGTGTAAGTTCAATTTCTCGCAAATAATAAAGACGTTTGTAGTTTAGATTGAGAATAGACATTGTTCGGAGAGTATCAAACAGTTTTAAATTCCATCCTAGTGGTTGAATGTTCAGCGACCTCATCCAGTAACGTGAAGGTCCTACGTTCGATCTTCAATGAGGTCATGTGTGCATGTATCACTGAAGAGTTCCAAAGGATGAGGAAACAACTACCCAGTACTGTCTAGTCTTCCTGATTACCGAAAATTCAGTAATATTTATTTAATTGCAAAGAAGTTTAGTAGCCATTTTTCCTCTCGTAAAACATTTCATTTCCAATATATTTAAATATACAGGACATATTTTTTAGTTTGGAAGTTAAATAGGATATTTTGTTTTAGTCATAGCTGCACATCTACCGGAAATTTGAAAAAAGAGACCGAAATTCGCTCATGATACAAATGCAAACTGTACAGTAATAAAACTGATTTATATCCCTTATGTGTTAAACATGATGGGACACATTACCTTCAAAGTTGAGTATGATGACGAAAGCGTTGATTCTGATCATTCTAAAACATGGCATCAATCAATGTGTAGCGTGATGCGGATTGATCGAAAGCGGCCAAAACTGAGATAACTATATTTTAAGTCAATGTCCACGGGGGTAGAAGTGTTTGTTTTTAAGATCTGGATTTAGTTTACACTCTGGACGTGAAATAACCTCATTAGACAACTTGTTTAATCTTGTCCCAGTTGTCAACCAATCAGAACAATTTATTCTCCTGTTACCAAGCCGAACTTTAATATAGCTAGGAATGTATAAATATTAAGTGTTTTTCCTTAATAAAGGTCTGTCACCAATTCTCTTACCGTCTTCCGTTACAATTGAACAAATTGATTTCTGCTCTGAGTGACGTATGTGTTAGTTAGAATGTTTAGATTTTCAGGATGTTGGAAATTAGTCGTTGGAAACTCAGTGATGATATAATCGAAAATATTCCATAATCGCACAGATAAATGCAGATTTGATAAGCTTCGAAATTTCAAATATTCTCAAAAAATGTTCATTCAATTTTCCTATCGCACGTTTCTTTAATTGTGTTATTATTCTGTCTCTCATCTCTTCTTCAATATGTGTTATTTCAAAGTGTAGCAGTTTAAACTGATGTACATCTGTATGAAGCTTTAAACTGATTGACTGAGTTTCAGAGTAGAACTTTGCGCTGAAGTGGTCATTTCAATCTGTATCTGTAAATTAGGAGCCAGTGACTACCAATCCTGCAGCATCGTCTTTTATTTCAGAAGGGCGATTAGTTAGCTTATATTACTACGACCGTTTTATAGTTAATCGAAATATTAAATGGATTAGTATGTTTACTGCACAGAACTGTGAAACGGTTCATATTCAAATGTTAGAAATGGTCATAAAAGGAACAAACTGACTGCGGTTATGTTGACTTGAAAGATTGAAGGAAATTGGAAAGAAGCACCGGGTTCGAATCCCGGTAGGTGCGTACTGTTGAAGAGTCCCAAACTAGGACGAAACAGCTGTCCAGTACTCCCAGGTTTTCCAATGGTTCTCTAACTGATGTCAGCTCATGATTAAATCCTCCATGCAATCAAACAAAATCCCTATAAAAACAATACTTGAACATTATTTTTATTATTGTATCCTTTAGTTCCTAGAGGAACATAGGGCTTCAGCTACGAGTCTCCATTGCCTTCGGTTTTCTGACAACTTTTTCACCTCGCTCCAAGTCTGCCCACATGCTTTTATCTCCTCTTCACATGACCTCTTCCAAGTCACCCTTGGACGAACGACTCGCCGCTTCCCTTTCGGCTTCCCCTCGAGCGATGGCTTGTCTAGTGATGTCAGTTGATGGTTTCCTCAGAGTATGGTCAATCCTTCTCCATTTCTTCCTGCTTATTTGTTTCACAATCGGTTCCTGGTTGGTTCGCTCATTGCCAGAGATCCCTGTTGCTGATCTTTTCTGGCTGGCCATCTGATCTTGAGTAGTATTGAGCAAAGACAACTTTTAATGAAGGTCTGTAGTTTGTTTGAGATGCTCTTTATGACGCGCCAAGTTTCTGATCCGTATAGTAGCACTGACTTCACACTGAAGTTGAAATCCGGATCTTATTTTGATGCTGAGTGATGTTGACCTCCACACAAACTTGAGATTAGTGGAGACTTGTCTTGCTTTTTCGACCCTTGCTTTTATATTCTCGTCAGTTCCATCCGCCTGTAGTTGAAACGATGCTTCCCAGTTGGGTAGGTTGTTTCTTTCAGGTTCCTCTCATTTATGTTGGCTGATTGTTGTCTGTTGGTGTTGGTCAGGAATCTTCATCACCTCTGCTTTCCCTATGTTCACCTGAAGTCCTATCTTTGACGCTTCTTCTACCAGCTTGTTGCTTTTCACTTGCATATCTTCCAGTTTATGGGAAATCAGACATATATCATCGGCGAAGTCCAGTTTTTGTGTGAGTCCATTTTATGCCTGTTTCCTCTCTGCTAGCTGTTTGTCACATTATCCAATCTAGACAGCCTTGCCTCACTCCCGTCCTCACTTCGAAGGCCTCCGTAAGTTTCCCGTTGTGGATTAATTGGCATGCAGCATTGTCGTATAACTGTTGGATCAGATGTATAATTGTCGATGGGATCCCATAGTAGCGAAGTAGTTTCCAAATGACCTCTCGATCGACGCTGTCGAAGGCCTTTTCAAAGTCGATGAAGTTGAGATAGAGAGGTGACTGCAATTACAAGCTTTGTTCAATGATGATCCGTAGTGTGGCGATTTGATCAATACATGACTTGTTTCTTCTGAATCCAGCTTGTTCCAGTCAAAGTTTTTCATTCAGGGCTTGTTTGATTCTCTCCAGGTCGATACGGCTCAGTATTTTGCTTGGGATGGACAGGAGGATAATTCCGTGCCAGTTTTTGCATTGACTTAAGTCTCCTTTCTTTGGTAGTTTGAATAAGTATCCTTTCTTCCAATTCTCCGGTACTTTGCCCTCTTTCCACACCTTCTCCAGTAATAGCCTCATCTATAACGATGTTCATCTCTGACTCTATATATTAGAGTAGAACCAGAGATGAGGATCTAATTGAAAAGTAAATATTTCTTCGCTCAATCTTTCCGTTTCCTAAATGTCTTATGGGGACTTTTCTATAACGATGTGTTTATTGATAGCAGATTCGTCTGAGTACCAGGATTTCAGGAATTTTCTTGCATTTTCGATGTTTCCATTGTTTAAAATCTTTACATGTATCCAGTCAAATTGGTGTCCATAGTTGTCTACATGTATGAATATGAAAGAATATACATCGTCTCTTTTGATAGCTGATTTATTTTCTTGGACTCAGAGTTACGGGTGACTCCCGCTCTGACCAATATACTGTTTTTCACAAGTGATACAATTCACTCTGTAGATGATATTGATCTGTGGTGTTTGAAATGGTTGTACTATCTGAGCTGAGACATACCGGGTACACTGCTGATGAGTCCCATCCTAAACGAGTGATACAATAGTCTGGTGTTCACATCACCCCGATATGTCTAGCAAACAATACCTACCGGTTGATATAATTGGTATGCAATTACTCATCTCAATAAATCAATAGTATATAGTTTTATGTTGTTTAATAGTTTGAGAGAGAGTATTCTAAATCTAAATTTCTTCTAATTATGACACATGTGTCATCAAGGATAACGTATACAGATTGATTGTTTGAGAACAATCAAGAATGCGTCATAAATCTGTTTGTGTTAGTTCATTGGTGCTTATCAGCAGGACGTATTTACAACCTTGAGATTGGAGTAAATCTTTTCAGTCCAGGCAACCGGTAGTTGACTCAGTGTTACCTAGGCGTAGTTCATGTGGCTACATACGTTTACTGGTCCCAAATATGACATACTGATAACTACTGAGAAATACACTTATCTTTTAGAGATTTATTCATTTTATTGCATATATGTATTTCTCTTGATATAAATTATTGTTTTTTTGGTTTTCTTTACAACTGTTAGTTTACCCATAGACTTCCCCTTAGCATCGAAATTCGGCTTGGAACCAGTTGATCCGAACAAGCCACAAACTATCAATTCAAATTTACTTAAAGAATTATCAAAATGTTCACGTCAGTCAGGAAAACGAACAAATACACCATCAGTACATACAGTTGCTGTGCAAACGGAACCAATATACAACAACAACAACAATAGTAACAACAAAAAACAAACAGAGAAATTTAAACAAAAGCGATCCATTGAATTAATTCATTTTAGAAATCGTCGTGGTATTCTACACCTTCCGCTAATCAATTCAACAATTCTAGCACCGAAAGAATGCTATGATGAATTGTACAGTTTTAATATTCGACCAATTTATAAACACAAATCACCCCAGTTACCGAGTTTATATCAGTTAGCTAAGATATAATTGATTGTGTATAATAATAATAATAATAGTAGTAGTACTGAAAAAGCAAGCGGGTTATTTGTGTGAATAGGAAACCTCTTCGATTAAAATAGTGCAAAGAAGTACAAACAAATTCTCCACAAGAGTGATGTGCTTGTTGTTACTTAAGTGTTTTCCCGAAAATCTGAGCCTGCACTGTGATGGTCAGTTTCATTCACACACACACATTTAAAAATAACCTGAATAATCAAGTAACTAACTGTTTCCTAAAGGAACATTTTGTGACTAAGTCTTTCATTGATTAACTGTCCACTGCTTGTTTGTAAACTACTGTCCACTGTCATGGTAAATACAACAGAGATGAAGTAATGAATGCCACAGAATCAACTGTCCTTTTGGGAATAAAATGAAGTGGATGGTTTTTGAAATGTTTTTATTGTAAATTTTATTGTTAAGTGGAGTCATTTCCTGTCTAATTAACAGGCTGATGTTGTGTAGATCAGAGTTTAAGATTTTCTACATGGTTTGATAACTGAACAATAAATTCTATAGAGAAATAAACACTTAGTTGGCTATTCTTGTAACTGTTCTAGTGATACTTCTTTAATTGTAATAACCGAGTGTTACTGATTTATGGTTGTGATCTACCTAGTCTCGAATCCACCTCCAAACACGACACAATAACCAACTGATCACTTGAGAATATTCCCCCAGACAGAGTAGACACATAAAAGTCAGATTAAAATAAGACAAGCTTTTATTACAGTAGTTATTCAAAATACAGGGTATACATAGCACACACATCCGTGGAAATTAATGTCACATATTATTAATCGGTATCTGACTGAAGGTGTGACGTTGAAAACCCTCAGAAGTACACGCCTAAAATAAACAAATCGAAAACTACAGACTGAGCGAAGAAATATATTCCTTTTCAATTAGTCCCTCATCATCCGCTGTACCTACACTAATATATGGGTTCTTACATAAACATTTCTACCGATCAAATGGTTATTTTATTTAATCACTTTTAGGAATAAACGGAGGTGAATTTAAGAGGTTAGATGTTATCAAACAAATAACTACTAAATGTCAGTAACAAGATATCTAAGTTTTGAAGGAGGAAGCGGTGAAAATTGATTACGGAATTCAAGATAAGTTGATTCTTAGACGTTACCAACAAGTTATTACATAATCAAGAAATTTGTAAATTAATGACAGTGACTAAGACGAATAGGGTGACTCAGAAGATTAACGTGAAATGCAAACAAGTTGATGAAATTAGCTAGAATTAGAAAAATTGTTTGAAAAATAAGTCAAAAGATAGTTACAAGGGGAGGGGAAAAATCCTTCCTAAAAACTTAATACATATTATGTAGTTGACCATGGCAAAGAAAGGGGCTGTAAAAATTTCTTTTGAATACATAGGTTTTGGCCTGTTCAGATGGATTCCGATTGTCTCTGCTGTATTTAAAAATCGTACTAGTCGGCCGCGTGGGATGTTGGGTGATATAAGGTAAATAACTTTACAAGCTTTGTTAGAGTCAACTTGATGTCCAGTATCGACGAGATGAGCTAGTATTGAGGTGCCTTTAGCTTTGTTCGGACCTTTACCAAACGCCAATGGGTGGTGTTCAGAAATTCGATGGTGAACTTGCCTGGTCGTACACCAAATGTGGCTAGCTCCACACAGGCAGTTAAACTAGTAGATACACATGGAAGAAGCGATACAGGGTAATCTGTCTTTATTTCTTTAACTGGGTGTTGGTCAGCTAGTGAATACACAGCATAGCTTAGCTGCGTTGAAAGCCGTTTTCAAGGCCCTTCTCAAACACTGTGATAAGATCTCGCTATTGATATCAACCGTGAATTGTAATCTTAAGAAGATTGGCTTTTTGGGAATAGTTGGCACCTTCCACATTTTACTTCCTGAGTTGATGTGTTCGTTAACGGATTTAGTTGGATATCCGTTTCTACTTAGTAGATCTCCAATATTACCGAGTTCTTCGTTGAGTGTCTCATTTGAACAGATAACTCCGGCCGGGTGAACCAAACATCTAACCAGATTACGTTTGTATTGTAGGTGTACGAAGCTCAGGAAGTAAGTATATTGTCCAGTGGAAGTAGGTTTTCTATATTAACGTCTACCTATTGTTCCGTCTGTTCGTCTAGTCATTAGGACATCCAAAAAGCTTATGCTGGGATGTGCTCTATTGAATTTGTCCAATATGTCCTTAGCCTCACTTTCTTTCTTAATAACTATAAGTGTGTCATCAATAAATCGGCAATAGAAATCAATATTATATATTACATCTTTAAGAGGACCATTCTCTAGTTTCGCCAAGAAAAAGTCTACTAGGATTGGGCCTAGTGGCGATCCCATGTTAACACCATCTGATTGTCTACACATTTCTTTATTGAACAGGAAATTTACGTCCATTATACACCCTAAGGGAAGTTCCTTTAGGGAAGACACAGGAATTCCAATCTCTGTACCTTGCTTTATCAACTCACTACCTATCCAATCAATTGTTTCTACCGAAGGCACATGGTATGGTGAGCTAGACATATCGAGGGCTGGTCTAAGTGGCAAGCCGTTTTTGTGAAGTTTTGGTAAGCCGTATAACTGGGTATCACCATGCCTATCGGTTTTAGTATTTCATACAAGGGAGGTGAAATATGGCCTTGTTGTTTCAACTTTTAAAGACTCAGTCAACTGTCTCTCAGTCCTCTCCGTTAAGTCTTTGTTGGTT